GATAAAAATCAACACTTAACACGCTGCTTCGACCTGTTAGGGTAAATGTCTGAGACATGACTAAATAAAAACACACAAATGTTATTCCTTATATAGCTTTATTTTTTCCATAACGAAACAGAAATTCTAGACATAAATGACCACAATTATAAGAATTAAATTTTTGATATCGTACATAATTATAGTATATTTTTACAGGTTCCTTTTTTTTCGTCACGTACAAAACTAAATCTGTGGGTGGTTTTAAATTGCCAAAACTATCGAAATAGTATACAGTACGTCCCTCTTTAACATAAGCTACCCAATGAGTACCTCTACCTAAATTTGAATCTAAATTAACTACCCCGCATTCAAACCGATGTGCGCCATTTTTCGGTAGATTATCACGCATAAATACACCACGAAAATGTTTGAGTTTTAACTGCCGTGCATATTCACAAATATCGATATTAGTAAGGGCTCTATGGGGTAGCTTTATTGGCAGTTTTTTTTATTTTGAACGTTTTTTCCTAAATATAATCCAAGTCCTTTTTTATATGGTTTCAAATATAGTCCGCTTCCTCCAGTTCTATTGTTGTTGTTGTTGTTACCTATGGCAATAGCTTCCATTGTCTTGTTATGACGTTCCGCTTCCTCCAATTTTTGGCGGGCAGCTTTTGCCTGATTTACAGCCTTAACTACTCCCGAAACACCTCCCGCCAATGATCCCAAAGCACTAACACCAGCTAATAAGGGTATTAAAGGTAAAAATCCACCTGATTTAGGTACGGGAATGATGCGTGGGACACGTATATTTTTTTTTCCTCCCGCTTCTTTAACATATTGTCGTGCTGCGTGTACCATTGCCTTAACATCTCCATTATTTGAATTTAGGTTATTTTTTAGCGGCTTCAGAATGGACCTTTCAAACGAACACTTTCGTTTTTGGCGTTGTAATCGTCGTGGCCGTCGTCGTCGACGTTGTCGTTTATGCTTTTGTTTTTCTCCAACTATTTTCAGCTTACTAATCGCATTACCCATTCCAAATTTTCTCTTTGTTTTCATTGCTGTGGTTACGAACCAGGAGGCGACTTTCTCACCTGCTTTCGCGTCTTTCGACTTGACTCTTTCCCAAGCTTTATACCCTAGAATTTTATCAGCTTTATGTCTATCCGCCAAATCTTTACTTTGAGAGTAGGCGATATCGTGCTCCTTACACGCTCGATCTAATTCGTTTATGCCTGGATCTCCTCTGGCTAATCGTTTAGCTAGCTTTGTTCCTGGTCCACAATACTGATAACCCGGTATATGAAGTTCTACAGGTAAAGAATTTATAACCTTGTTCAGCAGTCCGCTCCCTTCGACAACTAACATAATACTAAACTAAATATCGAAGCTACCCGCCTTTTATTTGTCATGCAAATAAAATAATCGAACTATTTCGAAATCAGTTAGTCTTATCTAAGCAGTTGTAGAATGAGGTTCGTTCAGCAAAAGGTATTATTACCTGTTCAAAATCAAGATGTAAGTGTTGTTTGCGAAAATACCCGTCATGGTTCTCTCCTACCTAATACTATTAGAGCTATAATATGTGGTCCGAGTAATTGTGGTAAAACAAATGCGTTGTTAAGTCTAATATTTGAACCGAATGGATTGCGGTTTGAAAATATATACGTATTTTCGAAGTCATTGTTTCAGCCGAAATATGAATTATTACAGAATGTCATTAGCAAAATAAAAGGAATAGGATACTTTACCTACGATCAAAACGAACAGATAATAGATCCCAGTGAGGCAAAAGAAAATTCCATTATAATTTTCGATGATGTTGCTTGTGATAAACAGAATAAAATTAGGGGATTCTTTTCTATGGGACGGCATAAAAAAATTGACAGCTTTTACTTGTGTCAAACGTATACAAAAATACCGAAACATTTGATTAGAGATAATGTTAATATGTTAATTATTTTTAAACAGGATGAAGTGAATTTGAAGCATATATATGATGAACACGTAAATACCGATATGACGTATTCATCGTTTAAGGATGTATGTATAGAGTGTTGGAAAAATAAATTTGGATTTTTTGTTCTTGTAAAAGATGCCGATATTGATAATGGACGCTACAGAAAGGGCTTTGACACCTTTATAATGTTATAATAGCACTACCTGCATACAACACCTGTACGTTTTCATACAGCACCTGTACGTTTTCATACAGCACCTGTACGATTTTATACTGGGGGGATATAAAAGCTTTATACATGGCGATACATAAGTTAGTATTCGTACATATTCTATAGAAGTAACATCTATCTCTATCGGAAAAAAAATGATAGATAAAGACAATCTAGAGTTAAAAAAGAAAATTATAGAAGCGGCCGATAACGTTCGAAAAAAATATAAATTTATTAAGGCTGGACAAATTGAAGAGGATTCTAATATAAAAAATATACTAAAGCCTATATCCGATCCTTTAGAAGAAATTAATAAGATAATCTCTACGACAAACACTTTACCATCAAAACCTTCGAAAATTACTAGAAAGTCTTTTTTCAAGAAGAAGAAGAAGAAGAAAGCAAGGAAGAGTATGGTTGGTAAAATATCCAGCCACCAGCACCCCTCGAATAGTAGTAGCACTCAAATCGATAATGAAAGCGAGATCGATCAAACCTTAGTATATGAATCTGCTCAATCGGATAGTGACATTCAGAGCGCGGAAGAGGAGGAGGAGGAGGAGCAAGAGGAGGAAAAAATAACTAAAAGGAAGCCATTTAGGTACAGTGAAAATTTAGAAAAATCCTTTCAGAAGTATTCAGATTTGCCGAAAAAATATATTTTGGAAATTTTCCACAATAAAGACGTATATGATGATGTTTTTGGTCCACGATTTAACGTTGAAAACGAAACATGGGAAATCGGAAATGTAGCCTTACGTATAACAAAGGATGGAGATTTTTTCGTTGGTAAAAACAAATATACCGGTACACCAGGTCTATACGAATTAATGTTTAAAAAACGACCTGAAAATTATTCAAGATTAGAATTGAATAATTATAGGAAAATCGTATTGCAAACTAATCTTCCCTATAGGGATTTTAATAACACAAACCAGTTAAGAGGTAGTAGATCGTGGAAATATAAAAATATTATGAAACCTATTGTTGCTACAAGAGAGGGTAGAATTGTGGGTAGTGGCAACAACAATAATAATAATAATATTTACAACACAAATAAAATCGACTATGTTTATTGGGACGATCCAAATGAATTGGTGTCTCGATTAGCCCTATTACATGCATCCACAAATGCCGGAAATAATTCACACTTGAATGAAATCAATGCCATAGAAGAGGAATTACGTGAAGCTAAAATTATATATTAAATGAATCTATAATTTAACCCTCAGTATTAAAATGTCTCTAGACAAGTTCGGACGTACGTCTCTGGTTACCAGGGATCGACAAAGGGCAAGTCAAAACCACTTGCAGTATCAGTTTTCCTACACAACAGACGGCAACTTTGATCTAAAAGGTAGAAAATTTTCTAATGCTATTGATCCGGTAAATTCTCAGGATTACACTACAAAGAATTACGTTGATAAGCTTACTGATAAGAAATATTTACTTTTGAAGAAGGAAAATCAAGAATATATCGATAGTAAATATTTCGAAATTGAACAAAAAATCAATTCTACAACCGAAGATTTGCGAAATAACATCAAGGATAGTACAACAAAAACTATAGGGGATATTAACAAGGGTATTGAAGTGTTTGAATTTGGTCTACAGAATATAGAAAAAAAATTACGTAGAGAATTTACGAAAATTGTACAAGAAGAATTAGATAGAAAATTAACAGCACAAAAGAAAGCTATTGAAATAGCAACAAATAATTTAGAAAAGATTAAGTAATAAACAGAGAGAGAGAGAGATGGGTGATGTGAAAACGCAAATTGTTAATGAATTATATAAGGCGCCAAGAAAGAATTTCAAAAGACGAAAAACGGTAGTGAAATCAATAGGAGATTTGTTTCAAATAGATTTGGCCGACTTTCAAAATTTGGCCTTTGCCAATCGTGGGTACAAGTACATTTTAGTCGTAATCGACTGTTTTTCGAAATATCTCTGGACGAGACCTTTAAAAACCAAGTCTGCCGAAAACGTAACCGAAGCTATGCAGTCTATCTTAAATGATGTAGAGCATAAACCTAAAAACCTGCAGTACGACCAAGGACGAGAATTTTTAAATTTACCATTCCGCAAACTCATGAACAATTATAACATAAATCATTATCATACCTATAGTATAATTAAGTGTGCTATTGTGGAAAGAGTGATTAGAACTCTTAAAACTAAACTCTATAAAGAATTTCATATCAACGGATCTTATAATTGGCTAGATCATCTTCAAGATGTGACCAATAAATACAACGATACAGTACACAGAACAATTAAAATGAAGCCTAAGAATGTAACCAAAAAACATGAAAAAAAACTACTTTCAACTGTATACAAACGCAACGATAGGGAATATTTTCGAAGAAATAAGTACAATTTGGGGGATACTGTACGAATCTCGAAATATAAACATTTTTTTGAGAAAGGATATACGCCCAGCTGGACCACAGAGTTGTTTAGAATTAATGAAATTAATTCATTATACCCACCCACATACTTATTGTCGGATCTGGAAGGAAACCCTATAAAGGGGTGTTTTTATGAGGAAGAGCTACAACGAACAAATTATCCTAACACATATTTAGTGGAGAAAGTCATACGAAGAAAGGGTAACAAGGTTTTTGTGAAATGGCTAGGATTTGACAAGAAATTCAACAGCTGGATTCAAAAGTCTGCAATTGTTTAATTTGAATTATCTTGTACGTTGTACGAGATAATTATTTTTTGTTTTTAATTGTATATTGTATTCTAAATTGAATAAACGTTTTTTGATTAACTATTAAGAATTTGATTTTATTTAAAAAAAAAAATATTTTTTAAACAAGTGTAATCTCTAGCGGATATTGGTTTACGGTTTTCCTTTTTCGCATAAAAAAAAGACACGAGCTTATCATTTTATAAAATTTTATAGGAAACCATATTGGTTTCCAAATGCGGTTTTTTTTATATTACCTCAGAAGACATGAAAAACAAAACGTTCACTCGTCTTAAGAACAGTAACGTAGCAACAAGTAAAAAAAAATGGATCGTCAAGTATTTCGGAAAAAACTGTATATGTGCACAAATTGTAGAAGAATTTCGAAAATAACGGTCGAAAAGGGTATGGTGCATGAGACACCACCCTTCTATAGATTCTGCCCCGTCTGTTCTGCTTTTACAGTGTTTAATATAATTATGAAACATGTGGTAATGGTAAATGTTAGAGACGGAAGAGTGTAGAGACGGATGAGTATATAGTTTCCCATATTTATGTAAGTAAAATACTACTACCTACACCTATGCTTTAGTAATACCCCCTCTTTTTTCAGATATATTACAAGAAAATATAAATTTAAATCATCATTCAATATTTGCTTAGTTATCGCTTTGCTTAAGTTATAGTATCAATAAAAAGAAAATGGAACCAGAAGTAGCTAGAACAAAATTGTATATTTGCAGTGGTTGTAAAAAACTTAACAAAATCATTATGGAGAAAGGATGGCTGTATAAGCCAAATAGGTTCCTAAAATTTTGTCCATTTTGTGCTGATTACAGAATATTTAGAATTAGAATGCATCAATTAAATTGAACAAGATAATTTCCTATATTTATGTAAGTAAAACACTATTACCTACGCCTATGCTTTAGTAATACCCCCCCTCTTTTTTCAGATATATTACAAGAAAATATAAATTTAAATCATCATTCAATATTTGCTTAGTTACCGTTTTGCTTCATCAAGTAACAGTTGATTTTTTTTATTTTTTTCTGTGTTTTAAACAATAAAAGAAAAAATGGAAAGGTTAAACAGTGTCAGTAGATGTGAATACAAACCAAAAATATCTGTGGAAACGCTAAAGGTCAATGAAAAATATAAGGTTTTAAATTTAAAAAAAATGCGTGGTGCCTATGGCGATACAGTATTGGTTGAAGTGGAAGAAGGGGTATTTTTCTTACCAAAAAGAATAGCAACTTCAATGACGAAACCAGTCGTTGATGAGCTTTTGGGTGGCACTGGCTGCTACATAAAATATTTAGGAAAGAAGACGATCGGTGGTCTAGCCAACCCTGTGAATATATTTGAATTCGAACAGTAGACTTCACAAATTAGTAAATATGGAAGACATCTTACGGACTACAGGAAAACTATTTAAACTTGTTAAAACACAAAATGAAGTGGACAGATTTTTAAAATTAAACAAAAAAAATATCAAATTGGTTCTAAGAAAACTGAAGGTGGATGATAATTTAACATTTGGGGAAAAGTTGCAAATAGAAAATGCACTGGCTTTACTAAAATCGTACAATATTCAAATTCAAAGGAAAATTATACATGGCAGTGGAGTTCGAAGTACATCTTCATCCTCGAAGAGAATTTTATGGAAACAAGTAAGTTTTTACAATTTTTATTTAAATAATTTTATTTATTTTCCCCGTTTTTAATTCCAGATTAGTTCAGCTTTTCAATCAAGAATAATAACAGCATCAATAGTTAATATATCTCACACTGACACTAAATTATTTTTAAACGAATGTTCAAAATTATTAAAAATTAGATTTAAAAATATACTTAGAAAATTGCAGTCTTTTAAAGTAAATTTAAAACTTTGTTGCCTATTTGAATTGCCCTCTACGGGGGAAGAAGAAATCAAACAATTTGGAACTGTCAACAAAGAAGTGTTATCTTCAAGTAATGTGTCGAGAATACTACAAGAACTTCAAGCTATACTATTGACTAAGCTGGAAGAATTTGAACATCGTGGGTCTGGATGGAGATATCTAGGTATTTCACATTTAATAGTATCGATTAACAAGTATTCACCAATCAATGGAGCCACCTACGTTTCCCTTCCAAGCTGGTTAAGCGGCAAAGGCATTGTTAATATAAAAAATAACGATTCAAGGTGTTTTGCTTGGTGTATACTAGCTCATTTATTTCCTGTTCAAAATGATTGTGAAAATGTAAATTCTTATCCTCAAAACATACACGACTTTTTAAATTTTAAAAATATCGAATTTCCTGTAGCCCTAACTTCTATATCTAAGTTTGAAAAACAGAATCCGAATATATCAATAAACGTATTTGGCATTGACAATAAATCAAAATGTATTATAGGTCCTTACTATCACACAAAAATAGTTAAAGAAAAGCATATTAATTTATTATATCTCATTTCAAAATACCAAAAAAATGGACATTATTGCTTAATTACGGATTTATCGAAATTAGTAAAAGAACACGTAACCAAATCTAAAAGTTCCTTTTTTGTTTGTGAGCTCTGTCTTAATCATTTTTCAAGCGAAAAGAAATACCAAACTCATCGTGAAAATTGTTTATTATTTTCACCTGTTAAAGTAACAACACCTAGTGAATCGGATTCTGTTTAAAATTTAAAAATTTTAAAGCTCTAATTCTAAGACCTTTCGTTATATATGCAGATTTTGAGTGTTTTACGAAAAAATTCAATTCTGTAAATCTAATCCGATAGGTCATTTAACAATAATTATCAAATACACACGAGCCGTATAGTGTAGCATATAATATTGTTTGTTCATTTAATAGTAACCTGAATAAATTTAATTTATATCGAGGAGAAAAGTGTGCCGTTTGGTTCGTGAATCAACCCCAAAGGAAGAATCGTTTAAAATTTCAAATTATATTCAAAAGAATTAAAAAGTGAAAACATAAAAATTACGTATCCCTAAATGAGGACGAACTTAATGATTTCATTAAAACCACAAATTGTACAGTCTGCGATAACATATTTACTGAGTGCGAATTTTAAAGTCCGTCATCACACGATCACTATATACAAGGGCATGTTATATTTCTTGTATTTGTAACAATTGTAATTTACAGATTCAAACTGATACTACTATTCCCGTTTTCTTTCACAACTTAAATTATGATTTCAATGTATTGATTAGAGAACTTTCAAAAAAATTTCCCATGTGGAAATACTTCCTTTAAATCATGAAAATTATATTTCTCTTTCCGTGTATTTCGGTGATATAAAATTAATGTTTTTAGATCACGCTTTAAATTTTGCCTGCATCGTTAGAAACGCTAGCGAATAATTTGGATAGAGAATTATTGCAACCGTTAAGAATACATTTTAATAATGAATTAGAATTCGATCTAGCTATAAGGAAGGGAGTATTTCCATGATTATGTAGACGATTGGGATAAACTTTAACGATACTATTTTACCACCACATAACTGACTTTTTATTCGTTGTTTAAAAACCAAAATATATCTGAAGAAGAGTATCGGCATGCGCAAATGGTTTGGTCTACTTTTAATGTGAATAATATGGGTGATTATAGCGATATTTATCTAAAGATTGACGTTCTCTTACTAACATCAATATTTGAAAATTTTCGAAAAATGTCGTCTTTCAAGTATTATGTTGATTAGATTGCAGCCGCTTTTCTAACATTGCCTCCTTTTCATGGGCAGCGGCTTTAAAAATGTCGAAAAATTAATTTAAAATTATTAACCGATATAGATCAAATTTTATTTATAGAAAAAGGAATACGAGGAGGGGGTGTAATCAAGCAATTTTGTCGTTATAGTAAATCTAATAACCCGTATTATTCTGAAAAATTTCGATAACACAAACCACATACTTATTTATCTTATTGGGATTTAAATACAATTTATATGGATGGGCTCAATCACAAAATTTATTACCATTTAACGATTTTCGATGGTTAGAACAGTTCGAGGTTGACATTTTAAAGTTTAATTTATTAAAATGTTTTTGATCGAGTTACTAGTAAGTATGGAAGTTCAAAGGAAAAATCAATTATTTTAGAAGTAGACCTAATCTATCCGTCGCATTTGCACGATCAACATAAATTTTTGCCTTTTTGTCCCGAACACAAAATCTGTCCGAATTCAAAATCTCAAACAAAATTGCTCTGTACACTAAACGAGAAAGAGAGAGAGAGAGAGAAGAAGAACGGCTAGTTATTTTATATATTGTTATTGTTTATTATATAATATTTCAGTTTGTTTTAATCTTTTCGTCGTGAAAGATCGTTTCATTCCAATAACAGAGAAAAAATGCAGGTGTTGTTATTAACTGCTTTTGTATCCCATATATTATATATACTACATCCTATTGACGCACAAAGAAGCCTTTATAGCAGCGCTCGATTTGAAGGAAAAATGGCCTACTGTTGGATGGAGTCGACTGCAAGAAAATACAATAAATAATATCAGTGTCTACCAATACGATACAACTAATATGTTGGATTCGATGTTTTTCTATAAAATCCGATTCGTATATCTGAATAGAAGTTTTACCGATCTAGGATGGAATCTACATATGTATATGTGTTCTGTAGAACACATCCATACAGATAAACTCGTACGAAGATGTGACGGTGGGTGGGAAGGAGGAGGACAAGAACCAAATACCTATATATGAATTAATTTGTGATATTGTGCTCATTCTTGGAATTGTAGTGATCGTAGTTGTATATAAATATTTAAGAGATAAACGTCGTCAATCCTTACGCCAACCACAGTCACCGTAAATTACATTCCCTTTATCCAGCAGAAAAATGCGCGGTGAGAGCGTCGATCCGATATCTTACGAGGACCGTTTGAAAAGTTTCAAAATTGGAATGGACAAAAAGTGGATGCAAAATCTTTGGCAAGCGCTGGATTTTACTATATACAGGAAGGAGACATATGCAGATGCGTACATTGTAACATTGAAATTTTCAAATGGAGGCGGGAGGAGACTGTCCTATAGAAGAACATTTTAAGTATGCAACCCCATTGCGATCATTTGCCAAAATCCACCAAATTTTTAAAAGACACTAATAACGGATCAGTGGTTTATATATTTTAGTTTCCACAATAATAAATGGGGGAGTCGGGTGGTCCCGTAAGGTTTGTTCGTTAGGCTGCATAGTTTGAATTATATAGGTAAGGTAAGTATCATCTGTGTTCGAATCCACCTGACCCCCATTTTTTTTTTTATATATTTTTTATTGGTTATTTTATTTTTTATTTATTGTAAAATATTTATATTTATTATATATTTTTAGGATAGAATAACAATTGGTAAATAAAACATAGAATAATATGAGATAATTTTTGTTTTATTCCGTTTTATTTGAACAAATCATAAAATATATAAATGTTGTAAATTATAAATTTTTGCATTCTTCTTCTTCTTCGTCCTCATCCCTTCATAACGATTTTCTGGGAAACCATGTATCTGAACGAGGTCAGCTGTCATAAACTTTTTTCAGTGGTTCCAGATACCACAGTAAACCCAGTGCTGAGACATTTATTATGAGCTCTTCCAAATTATACGTATTTAGACAACGTAACGTTGTTTCCATTGCACGTCCAAATGAAAAACCGTTCTTACCGTACACCGCCGCGTGACCAACAACTCAATTCATTTTAGAAAATTCGTTGGCAGATGTCCCATAAACTAGATCCAGTTCTTCATTTACTGCTGCCATTTTAATAATTAAATCACGTTCGTACCTATTACGAGGACGAGAACTATACTAACAAAATGCAAACAAAATCACAGTATTCATATTTAACGCATGCGCTCCACGAAGATCATGCGCAAGCCCCAAACCACCGACCCCCCCTCCGCCAGAATTACTGGAATTCAGACCGGAAGTGCAAACAAACCGCAACACAACAACTTCAAGGTCAATTAATCCAACCGTTCCTGGCGATGACGTCATCACCATAATTCCTGGAATTCAGACCGGAAGTCACACATAACCTAACTTCTAACACGCAGACGCTAATCTACACACGACACCATTCACGCCAAAAGGGGGCCCCACCTAGCACTTCGCCCCTCACCATTAACGCCAAAGGGGTCCCACCCTAGGACTTCGCCCCTCACCACTAACGCCAAACGGGCCCCACTCCTTCAAGGTCAATTATGTCACCCACCGTTCCTGGCGATGACGTCATCACCATAATTCCAGGAATTCAGACCGGAAGTCACACATAACCTAACTTCTAACACGCAGACGCTAATCTACACACGGCACCATTCACGCCAAAGGGGCCCCACCCTAGGACTTCGCCCCTCACCACTAACGCAAAAGGGGCCTCACCCCTTCAACAAGGACTTCGCCCCTCACCATTAACGCCAAAGGGGCCCCACCCCCTTCAACAAGGACTTCGCCCCTCACCACTAACGCAAAAGGGGCCTCACTCCTTCAACTACGACTTCGCCCCCAACACACACTTTCATACCACACCTCGTATTCACACACGATCAAAAAATATTCGACGTTTTTATCTTCACCGGAAGTCCATAAGAAATACACGGGGCTTATCGCTGATTTCCCCCATTTATTATCTACTGCAAACATTAGACCAGTGTTTACAAGATCAAATTCGATTACCAAAATATAAATCATTTACGGCGTAGAAAGCCTTGTCTAGTAAATAAGATTTCAATGCTTTGCAAAATGAAGAAAATGATGTTATGGATTTGATTTCAAATGGCAGGTGATTGTGCATTTTTTTCGAGTTGTATAATATTGAACTTTTAACTAACTCTGAGCGTGGGGTAGGTAGATAGACAAGCACATCTTGCTCCAAGTTTCCTGAGTGGATAAGTGTGAGATGGCCTTTCTTGAGAAGCTGATACATGCTTACGTATTAAGGAAACGAATTCAAATATAAATAAGGAAGGAAGAGTTAATATTTTTAATTTTTTAAAAAAGTCCTGGCAATGAGTTCTGCTGTTTAATCCCAGTGAATATCGAACAGCTCTCTTCTGGAGCTTGAAAATGCGGTCATATTGAGTCGCACAACACGTGATTGCACAAAAACTGATTGCACATAAAGCAACAGCAGCAGCAACTTCTGCGTCGGCCATCTTCTCGCGTTCTCGCACGGATGATGGATTTCTCGGGAGTTCACAACTGCAACTGAAACATTCGCTAATGTGTATGGTCGTACCCGAGCACGAATTTCTCGGCCGAGAAGCTCGGCGAGACACAGCGAGCGTATTCGGACGTGAATGTGGAACCGGCATAACAAAAACAGAGCCATATAATATAATATAGGTATATTAGGTAGGTATATGCATTATGTATAACATCTATTTTATTAGTATTTTAATAAAACACGCTTTTAGATGTATCAAAAAACTTTTAATAAGAGTAACTTTAACTCTACATATATGTTTCGGCTTGTTAGGCCTAACAAGCCGAAACATATATGTAGAGTTAAAGTTACTCTTATTAAAAGTTTTTTGATACATCTAAAAGCGTGTTTTATTAAAATACTAATATTTCAACGATGTTTCACAAGGAACCAACCACAGCTTCAGTACAATTTATCTATTTTATTTTCTTGCAAGGAAATTTTAAGCTATTT